ACACACACACACACACACGCACACACACATGCGCACACACACACACATGTGTGTGTGTATGTGCGCGTGTGTGTGTATTCACCTTTGAAGATTTTTATTTCCTTTAAAGAACTTAATAAAATTTTTGATGACAGTGACTATATGTTGTCTTAAAAAGTAAAACACATTTTGTTAATGAGAGATTTAAAATACCAACAATAAAATAATAAAAATACCTCAATGCAGATGTGATGCATTCCTCCAGCCTTGTTTTTCTGCAGAAATCCTGCAATTGGACTGTCATTTCCCAGTGGATGAAGCAATTCCATCTTGGTATTTCCCAGGTTGACAAAAACAACAGATACTCCATGTTCAGGAAGAGGGACCACCTCACTTACCTGGGCCCCCAAAATATTCTGATAAAATGCTGTGGACTTTTTCAAATCTGGCACTGCAATGGCTACATGATTGAGTCGACTAAGATTCCATACAGGATCTGCCACCTGATGCAAGGACTGTGATGCAGAAAAACTTCTCACTGCTGGAACTGGATTTAGGAATTTTGAAAAACACCCTGAAAAATTGAACAGTCATTGGTATCCTTCTTTTGAGAATTAATGCATTTYAAATTATAATTTAAAAAAACTAAACAAATAATACATAAGAAAATTAATTATTTAATGTCTATTCTTTTTAATTATTGAAATTAACTCAGGGGAAATAAATGGAAAAACTTATGTTAAAATTACTCTGTGCTGCCCAGAATTAAAAAGCTAATTGTCCAAAATTAAGAAAAGTAATTCTGAGCTAAGCACAGTGGTGCAAGCCTGTAATCCCAGCAACTCAGGAGGCTGAAGCAAGAGAGAACAAGTTCAAGATCAACTTCAGCAACTTAGAGAGGCTGTCTTAAAATAAAAAGGGCTATGGTATTGCTCAGTGGTAGAGGGTCTCTGGATTCAATTCCCACTATTACACACACACACACACAGCTAATTCTGAACTTCAATTGGATTTTGAACAAAGAATGACACTTTTTATAATCATTTATATTTACTGGTAACACTTGAAGTATAATGGCATATTAAGAATTACTTGTTAAACTCTGAAGGGGTTAAGTCTGAATGTAACAGTGATACAACATACACTTAATGATAAAAGCAAGCCACTTTCCCACCTAAACACAAGTTTTTGTTTATAATCTGTAATAAAGTCATGAAATGCGTATCTATACAATACTTTTTTAATGTGTATTTTATTTGAATGATTATCAACCAAGGAAAATATATCATTGTTGGGAGGATAAGCAAAGATCAAGGCAATAGTTAGTTTATGAGAATTTTCTCTGACACCAAACTTTTTGTCATATTGAAGGAGTAGAGGCAGAACTTTGTTAATCTCCTTTCATTCAGTTGAAACCTYCTTTCATTCAGTAACTGAAGAAGGCTGCAAGACTTTCCCATTCCCACAAACAGAATGAAAAATACATAAATGTATGAAGTCTAAATATAATTATGTAAAACTATATCACTTAATAACTTGGTATGAAATAGCAAGATGAAGATCATATACAGTATTTTTTTAAACAATAGGTGGGTAGTGAAAAAAACTTTACATAGTACCAAGTACAGCACAGCTATAGCTAATAAAATACCTCTTAACTGAAATTTTCTTTAGGAAGAAAATTAAAGTGATACTATTTTGTTTTATTTAACCTGATACACAAAATTCAGCCTAAGATGGTCTTCTAGCCTGCCCCAGTCTATATTATGGGTTACTGAAATACTTAAAGGTTCTCATTACCAATAGGGCAATATAGTTCTGTTTTATGGACTCACTGCTATTATGAAATCCAAATGTATTACAACTCAGCATATATATATGCACACACACACACACA